TTAAAGCGTTGACTTGTATTCAACCTAGTTGTGGTGTGATATTAATGTCTTCTTTTTGGTTTTGCCATAGGATTCTGAGAGATAGTTTTCGACATTTTAGTTTAACTTTATTTGCTTGCGTGGCTTTCGACATATCTTTACATTGCGAATTTTATCTGTTTTTTTTGTCGGGTATTGATCAGTTTTTTTTTAAATTGAAATTGTATAATGTTAGGTTCGTTTTCACCCATTTTACATCGTTTTTTCCATTCGTTTTTCCATTTCCATCGTTCTATTCTTAGATTGTCTTTGTATTTTTAGTTTCCGAGAAGTTTAGCTTGGTTCAATTTTGTTCTCAAAATTGAATCGAATACTTCTCAGCTGAAAGCTCTTTTTTTTTTGAAATATTTTTGCATTTGACAAGAGAAGTTTTCTCCGATTTGGTAGTTCTACTGCACGGATGGATTTTCATTGTAGTCGTCGATGAATTATCAAGCATTAATGCTATCATGAAATGAGATGTAATTAAAAACGAGTTCATTTACCATTTCATGTCGAATTGTGCTTTTTATTTTTGAGTTCTTGTTCACGGAAATATGGAAACTAATTACCGTATATATAGAAAGTGATGCGCGAATGCTGTCAAATGAAGTGTAATCCTACTTAATTCACCCTAAATGATTATCGCATTTTGTCAGTGTTCTCAGTTTTTATTGATGGCCGAAAAATCGTTTAAAATTCTCACTTTTATTTTGGAGATTATGCGTGTTCTTATTTCTTTGCACACATTTCCATTGCGAGGTTTACTTCGCACCTTGCAAAATTGTATTCTTTCATATGAATGATTATAATTTCCGCATTTTGTATTGTATTTATTTCATGCGTTCTTTTTAATTTCCGAGAGTTTATTGTGTGCTTTTGTAAGATATCTATTTATTTATTTATTTGTAATAAAGCTTTCTTCAATTCCATTTAAGCGAATGTCTTTACATATCAATGAGATGTTTCTTTTTGTGAACAATGAACGGAATATGTTAAGTGCTGAAAAAATTTTCTAGAAGAAAAGTTCAGTCGTCTATTGGTTGCCTTAAACATATAGTTATTTTCCTGAGCCTGTAGTAAATGTACAACTGATTTTTAGCTGTTCATTAAACAATTTGTTGTAATTGATCTGAGACCGACTGACATTGAGATATTATTTTGAGTCGTGTTTGCTAGTGGAATGCCACTCAAAATGGATGTGACGTTTGCTAATACAGCAAATAGATATTGCTGATGAATATCCATGCAATGATGTTGTCTTCATATCGGTCGGATTAGTTTGTTGAAATCGTTTTTTTTTNTTTTTTTTTGCTAATGGAAGAGAACAAATTTGAAAACTGGTTTTAATACGTTTTGAATTATTCGAATGTTTACCACTTCAAGCATATCCTCTTTATTCAACGAACCGTTGAACAATTCAGTCAATCGTTTTAAAGAATCGCTTGGCTGCGGAAGTTCGGATTTTTCCGGAACTTTTTCACCGGAAAACTCATTTTCCAAGACCGGAACTTCCGAGTCTTACAAGTTCTCATTTACACTGAGCCTAGATGTGCGATTGATTGTGAAACTTTTCCTGATCATACGAGCGAAGTATACCGCATTCCAATTGATCATCATTGGTCATAATGAGTGATCAAAAAGTAACTGATCGTGAGCTATGAAAATGCAATTAGTTATTTATTATATTTGTAATAAAGCTTATTTTAGTTCATTTGAAAAACGACTGGCTCCAATGAAATGTAGTCAGAAAGAGTGATGAAGTCTTGGAATGTGTTCGAAAAACATTTGAAGAACGGAAATATGATTTAAAGCATTTGAACAAAGCGATTTCTGTGGTAGATCACATTAATGATTAGTACGGTTATCAGTGATTATTATGATCGTTAATGATCATTAAGATTGTTCATGAGAAAACATCGCTCCGAAAGCAGTTCAGCTTGAAAAATCTGAAATTAGTTGAACCAGCCGTCGTTAGCTGGATCGTTTGCTATCAGCACAATTGGTGAGAAATTGGAACATATTGAATTGAACATGAGTTTATAATTGAAGAACAATATTTATATATAAGTTTATACGGAAGAGAGCAGTTTATTAAACAGTAAAAAAAGGATTGGATCTGGTGAAACGAAAACAATGAATTCTTTGAATTATGCACCAAAGATGTGTAGATGATAAATAACTTTTTCGGAAAACAGGTTAATAAAGCATATAACTTAAAACAACTAATCCGGTAAGGCAGCATTAAATTGAATTGTTTAAGAGTGGATGATAAGGTGTTAAATGATAAATTAATTACGAAATGCGAAAGGAAGACATTAATCGAAATTTTTGTTTGGTTGACCCATTGCAACTATGCCACGATTCAATTGAAACAGGTCATTCGGATATTTTTTACAGATGTGATCGCAGTGAAGAAAAATATTTGGAAACGTCAACATCGTTTGTGTGACACCAATGGTTTTAGATCAACATTGAGTGATATTTTCTTAAGAGGATGAAGTGACTGGGATACGGAATGGAACTGGATCTGGCAGTTATCAGTGTGCATTTTGTTGTGTGCATCAGAACTGGGAGAAATCTTGTGTAGATTTTGAGTGCGTGACCAAAACATTGAAATCTTAAGCTCATTGCTTTGCAAACTTACTTCACAATCGAAGAGTCAACGGAGCTGCCACAGAAATTTCCCTCTACTGAAGCAAACCTTCGCTGTCAGTACACGGATTGACTTTCCTCGAAAATCTTTCTTTAGTGCTACCTTCACACGGATCAAAACACACTACAGTATGGAAATGCCATCAAATCGAACTCAAAGCAAACTTTTACCATCATAATTATCACTCACTCTCTCTCCAATTGATCATCTCTTGTTATACAATTGATCTGAGCCTTTCAAATACAAAATTTCTCATGAGCACAATATTCTAGTTTATTCAACGAAACAAGTCTGACTACTGCTACTGATCCTAAAGTTTTTCTTCATGATTGCGGAAGATACTTGATTTGCAACATTTCTTTACCAATAATTCAATGGTCGACTAAAGATTACTGTGAATTTTTTATGTTCTCCCAAAAATGCATCTGAACGTCTTAACATAAAAGCGGAGTGGAAACCGACCAATTCACATACGAACACTTTTTTAACCTAAGACTAGTAAAATCTGTAAATACCATCAAAACTTTACGAGGAAATTCCAAGAAAAAAAAGGAAATTCCATTCAGTTGATCTTTTTTCAATGGTGTATGTTTTTTGCTTTGAATGCCAGTTGGAGACTGGGTGGTTGAGCGGGGAGACTTGCTTTGCAACATTTCGTAATTCGATGAAGATCACACTTAGTGAGGTGTGCATGAATTTAATAAACTGAATGTGATTTGAAGAAAACTGATCACTATAACTGGTTGGATGGAGGATAGAGACGAAAAGAGTAGCGTATGGCAAGGATCAGACATTGAGATGTTTGCGGATTGGATCATAGAAACAATGCTTGCGGAGATATTGTGAAGATGTGTTTGATAATATTCAGTGCAAGAGGTGTATGCATCCTGTTTTGAGCGTTAAACGAAACCGTTATGAAGTAGTGCTGCATGCATCCAATTTCAAAACTTGAAATTTTTAATAGAGAAACATGAAACCATAAAATTTTGTTGATCGTTTCAATTAATTGATCGGTTTTTTTGAGGCAAGGAATGAATGTTAGCGTATGTGACGATACTGCTGATGTGTGACAAACGAAGAACATGATGAAGTGAAGCTTTTTGTGCAATAAGGATGAATTTATGGGATTGTATATAAGTTCTACGATTTCTTAAATGACTCCAAGTGAGAACATCCTCGAACGTAGGAGAAGAGCACGAGCGATAAGATTCGAGCGGTTGTTCACTTATTAGTGGTTGACACTTATCCTAAGCATCGTTCTATTCTCTTGTAAACTTCCAAACCCATACGTGTTGTCCTTGTTGTACTGCATAATCTCACTTATCTCTTCGTAAACATGGATTACGATGGCCGGATAAAGGCGTACAAATTTTCTGCATATGCTGCAATTCTATTCACGACGACCGCAATCCTATCCGTATGCGTCACACTGCCAATGGTCTACAATTATGTGAGGAATGTGAGAATGACGTTGGCTGGTGAGATGGGATATTGTAAGGTAATTCGATTGTTTCATTAGGCTGATTTTTGAAGTTCAACCGCACTGCTTGGAATCTATCGACGATCTCGCGATTCATTGCTGATTCGAAACTGGGAGCTTTTCTGAATTGGGAACAAATGCGGAATGCAGGTTTTGAGATTGTGATCGAACTGTTTCTGTTGCTGTTAAGCAGTCACCAATCATCAACTGCTGCTCGGAATCTGGAGACGGTCATTCGATCATATAGAGATCACGAAATTTCTCATAAGAGCACTTGCTTTTGTTTGTT